GGTTGAAAGGTATGAGATCTAAGAGATGGTTTACGGATATAGAACTTCCATACAGTCCCAGTACAATGGAGGTAAACTGAGTATTTTCTACTTCATGTTTGTCAGCACTGAGCACAGCCTTCAGTGCTGCTCCCTGTGTGAGTGTGTTACCGTGGCAGCCAGCCGAGGAGACAATGCTGATATTTTATTTTTTTTTAAACAAAAGGCCTTGTGAGCAGTTTACAAAAGACCTCCACAAGAGGGAGGGGGCGCTCCCTGTCCCCTTTGGCCTGTAGTAAGAGTCATGGCCAACACTGACTCAGACACTTTGTGCTGTGGGATCACATTGTACTGTCGGGTTCAGTGTGAGCAGGGATGAAATTCTGCAAGTTAACACTTGTCATCTTGAGCAATCGTTTTACAGTGCTGTAGCACTGGCGACTGATCTCAAACTGGTAGAATTGTCGACTGGGAAGTGTGGTTTATTTCATAACTCATTACACAATAGTTAATCTAATATTTCATAGACAACGGATTAACTCAGAACTAATCGAGGTAATTAGAGACAATGTCACGATTTAGTTTCTGAGATATGAAAATACATCCAACAGCAGCCACTCAAAATATGCTGCGATTAAATTTTAAATGACATGATTGAATTAAATGACATTTTTTAACAACAGGATATGCAACTGTGTTTGTAGCACCACCCGCAGGGGAGGCAAGGGCTTGTGTTTTTAAACAGTAAACTGGACAGTTTCTTTATTAATTCTTTATGGAAAATCAGTGAGATGGTTTTAGAATAGACTAATATATAACCCCAAAGTCCATACTTCCCAACTGGACAGTTTCTTTATTAATTCTTTAAGGAAAATCAGTGAGATGCTTTTAGAATAGACTAATATATAGTATTAACCCCAAAGTCCATATTTCCCCGTATTGAACAGTTTTGGTCTTTTGTTATATATGATGTAATTTCGAAGTTTTAATGACTAATTCAAACGTGTTAGTTTTTTTTTTTTTGTATTATTTTCTCCGCACTTTCACACGTTTCCAGGGTGTTTTGTGAGACTTTGTACAAAAAAGGCTGTGAAAGTGAAACGGCTACACGGAATTTTTCTTTTAAAAACAACAGATTAAGATAAAGAAATAATCAAATTTCCACACGTGTGTGTATGACTCAGTTTGTGCTTTTTCAAGTTTTATAATGGGAGTGAAAGGAAGGAAGTGTTATTTATCTGCAGTTCAAAGACTGCGAACTATCTAGATCCCAAGGAGTCGAAGCTACAATAAAAGAAATGACTCAAACAGAAACATTTGTTGTCAAATTACTGTTTAACCGTGCTATAGTTCTGTTTACGATGTCAAAAAAGGCCCGAACAATTATTTAATAACCATTTTTACACCAGTTGAATCAGGACATTGTTAGCTGCATGATAAAAGGCACAGACAGTGACTCAACACAACTTCCACGGAAGCAAAAATGTGTCTCGGACACGTGAAATAGACAAGGGTGTGTGAATCAGCCTTCAGAGCAGAGGAAAACGGCTTTCCTGAAACAGGAAACTTGGCCCACGAGAAGCATGCTGGCGTGGCGACTCCCGTTCCTCATTTTAACTTTCATCCTGGAACTCTGGATCTGACCGTGGTACAGACAGCTCTGTAGTTTACGTTACACATCCAAGACAGACAATGGCGACCAAAACAACGCTGTCATTTTGCTTTTGTCTTTCTTTTTTTTTTTTTTTTTAAAGCAACTTTCACTTATGCTGAAGGTCTGCCACCGCTCCCACATACACCGCTAATAACAGGCTGATTCACTGCGCACAGAACAAGCCTCCTCATCTGTCCCTGGTTCAGCCGCCCACACTGCAGCCCACTTCTACTGCAGAGCATCAACATTTATGAACAACAGAAAAAAGAGCTCCACTGGTTCACTTCCTCTGACGCATAGTCAAAGAATGTGGCGGATATATTTGGAATGTAGGGGTGTGTTGTGTTGTCTACGGACTGCGTAGACCGGTGTTTCCCAAACTTTTTTTTTGTCCCAACACGACACACCACCAAACAGAAAGTACAGCTATGATCTTCTAGGTTCATTCACTCACAGTTTACATACTCAGTGTGAAACCTGTGCCTGTTTAGTTGAACACCACACTGATATACTCACAGGAATTGAAGAAGGACACACATGAAGAGCGCGGAGTCTCATCTGCTGCCATCTAGTGCCAGAGTATATAATTGTTCTGCCTGTCACTGTTGCATCGTTGAACAAAGTCTAATTATTTACAGTGAATACATTTTCCAGACCAATTGGGGGAAATGGTACAATTTTCTACAGTACAGGCGGAGTTTCCATCTTATGGTGCAATGTAACTCGAGAGTCGGAACTCACCTACACTATTTCCATCTTATGGTGCAATGTAACTCGTGAGTCGGAACTCACCTACACAGTACTAACATCTATCTTCTTGTAAAGATGAAGGGCATAAAGTTCCCCCCCCCAAAAAAACAACAGAAAGTGAATGTAGCACATTCCAGGGTGAAGCGTACAACTGGCGAACGTGAAGGGTGAAGGACATCGTAAACTGAGGATACTGATAGGTATCCTCAGTTTACGTAGAAGACACGAAAGATAGTTTAAGTTGAAATAAACGCCATTTGAAGTTCAATCTGGGGGAAATGTCCCTAGGCTCTGAGGACTGATTCATACATCCTAATGTGTCAGAGTCAGAGTCACACTTCCATGGAGGGGTTGGGTTGGGTTGGGTTGAGTAACTCCCATCATCTGTTTCCACTAATAGTTTATGCTTTTATTATTATTGCTAGCAGCGACCTGACAGTAGAGAACGTCCGCTGGGTTTATACAGATGTAAAACAGATCGCTTTGAACTGAGTGATGATGTGTTTGTCCAATAGTAATTCAATAAACTCTGTTTATCTGGAACCATGTTAATTTAACGAGTTGTTAAAGATTTAAAACACAGACTTAAGATTTATAAGTTATTTGGAATGTTTGTGCACATTATCAGCTGTTAGACAGATGATGGATGGATGGATGGATGGATGGATGGATGGATGGAAAGATGGATAGATAGATAGATAGATAGTGAACTTCCTGTTAGATTTAACAGAAAGTTCAACGTGTTAAGTTACGTAAATCTCTAAAAGCAAAACATCACATTTTTTTTCCAAACTGAAAATAATATTTGAAGGATCTCAGGGCCAGTCCTTCGACGAGGCCAAGATGGCGCTGTGACCAGATTGGATTAAACAAATTGTCTATTGTAAACAACAGAAGTGTTTACGTCAAATGGAGGAGATAGTGTATAGAGAAGTAGCTTTGGTATTTTAAGAAGTACCAGACGCCAGTGGCTCTCCTGAGTCGCATTGATTGATCAGCATTTCCATTCTGGAAACTTCTTCGCTGTCATACCTTATAAAAGCTCTTGGATTGTCATTGGTAATGGCTGATGTTTTCAAAACATCACTTCTCTTTAGTCAGTGAGGTCTAATTTTGAAAATAAAGTACGAACTGTACAGTGTACAATACAGTGTCTGTAAACACAGTATTGTAAACTTGTCCGTTTGCACATTTCGAGGCTTCATCTGTAAACACAGTATTGTAAACTTGTCAGCACATTTCGAGGCTTCGTGACAGGCAGTAATATTGCAGGGCGATGTCTGTTCTTCAGCTGAAGTCTCGGCTTTTGTCCTACTGATTTGACAAATGGGAGCGACTTGGACACTGACATGAGACCAGTGTGATTTATTACGACGGGCCAAAACAGAGACATCATTGTTCCGGTAATTTAATTACCTCAACGATATCAAAGTATTTCAGCTGAAGGAGAAAGTCGTGAACTTTTTAAAACACAGAGCTATTGACTGAGGGCGATCAGTACTGTTCTTTTGTTCTCATTGTTACTGAGTACGCTTGTGTTGTAACAGAGCACAGCTCAGACTTTTCACCACAGTACGACCGACTGGTTGTTTTTTTTTCCAATGACAAATCAATGTTAATGTTGCAGTGCTTTTGTGATGATATTTTGAGCATGTTATGAGGTGAAATTTATAGTCTGTGACTTGTTCTATGTTGGTCCCAGTGATCACTTTTTTCAAAAACATTAAACATAATTTTGTACAAAGCATTATATAAAGTATGTCCGAAAATATCTTGATAATTTCCACAAGATATCTTTCATTAAATTCACATAAAAAAAGGCCCATTTGGCTCTTCTTTAGAAGTACGTCAACAGTAAAAAAACAAACAAACAACTAAAATAAAACATGCTTGTTCAGTTTATAATTAAATTATTAGGGGTGTCCACGAAAAGAAATGTGGATGCACAAAACTATTTACTTGAAAAAATTATCATAAATAAATATATAATTTAGAGTTTCCACGACTTCAAGCCCACTCTCATGTACTGAAAGACGATGTCGTCTCGTCGCCCACAACTCAGCTGTTACATACTGTATAAATATAAACACAGTAGATAAATATATATCTACATATATAATTATATTATACAAATATATAATTATATTATACAAATATATCATTATACTATACAAATATATAATTATATTATACAAATATATAATTATATTATGTATATACATGTATATATACACAAACATACGTAACACCTCATCACTGTTCACCAACTAAGTACAAAAGAAAATAACTAAGCCCTTAACAAACAATTAAACACAGTGTTAATCCCAGTGATATTGAACATCCTGCTCCACCAGTTTCACTCGCAGTTTTTAGACCTGATTTCCAGGTTAAAAACAAACGCATCGACGTGGATGAAGCCTCGCCCCGTGTCACCTGACTAGCCTAATCCCCAAGATGTACCGCTTCTTCCGTCCACAACGCGAAGCTTGTCGACTTTCACTGAAAATTGATGTAAAATGAGTGACTCCAGTGAGCCGTGATTGGATACCGTCAATATTGTGTCGACGTTGTCGGAATTTGGAAATTGTTCCGCTTTAACAAGGTTCCCCTTGTGTACTATTCAGTACCTTCTGTGTATTTGTATCTTACGTCCTGTACCCGAAAGGTTAAGGACAAATACACATACCGTTACAGCCCCGGGAGTACTCCAAGACTATTTGTTCCTGACGGGATTGTTAGCCTATTTTTCAGTCGAAGCAACTGTGCTCACTGAAGTAGTACTACACTTAGTATTCAAATTAAATTCTGAAATCACTTACACTCATCAAGTGCGAATTATGTACGTGACAAAACATCGTCTCACCAAATTTGTATTTAACTACACGAGGGAACCCATGTTCACCCAATGGTACTTGAACCTCTATTTGAGAACCTCCGTTACACAGCACATTCACTGAGTTAGAAGAGGAACTGAAAACCTAGGGGGCATGTTTCTATTTCATTTCACAATAATAGCAACCGCAGGTGTTTCTAACTCTAGATTCTTGGGATTTTTGGGGATTTTTTAAAAAATTTCCTCATGCCTCCAGTGAACCTCACATCTGTACAAAGAAACGAGAATGATCACGTGTTAACTCGGAGCATGATGTCCCCGTTGATTAAAGTAAAACAAATGATTTTATAACCGTCTGATTAAAGTAAAACAAATGATTTTATACCCGTTTATACACTATAGACTACAGTGTAGACTTCGGACATTGATGACGAAGAACATCTGCTAGTCATTTTCAACAAGTCTCCAACCTCCTGTCCTCCCTTCTGTTTTTGAAAGGGAGTGACCAAAGTGCACACAAAGTCTATCAGCACATTTTTTCAACCCCCTTTTTTTTTAGTTTATTCTTCAACAATTACCGTTAGATAGATGTTTACATCTGCACATAAAACAGAGGCTAAGGACCGTAACTGCCATGACACAAGAATTTGGGAGCAATGCTTTTAAAACCGACTCTCCTTCCTTCCTTCCTTCCTTCCTTCCTTCATGCCTCTTGAGAGGACAGTCCAGGACCAGCTCTCTTGTGGACATTTATACCCAGACTGCTCTGATTTGTTTTTGATATCGGCCCGATACCGACTCAATAAGACACATAGTACATGGACACTAACGGTCCAACATCGCGACTTTGCACTGCGGGTTTTCTCCATCACATACAAGGGCACGTCACCAGACAACATCAGATCGATATCGGCCACGTTACGTTTAAATGCACCGTCGCATCGTTTATAAATGATTACAAGTGTGAGTGTCATGTCTTACCTGGCGTTATTCCATTTATATCCGCGCGTCCTCTGGTGTGTTTCAGTTCTGGTGTGTCATCAACACGCGCGCACACGCACGCACTCGGTCTCAACTGGCCAACAGATGACACGCGCGGCAGGTTAACGCACAGTCTGCGATACGGAGACCGCACCGCCTAATAAATTACCACGGCGCCTGAAGAGGCTCTTCACTCACTTGAGAAGCACTGACATATCTGCTACCGTTACTTAGACGTCAACATCCGGTTAAAACTTTCACAATAAAAGGCGTTGCACTGAGACGCAACGGGGTGGGGGTGTTTCACAATTTTGGGCGATTTTTGTTGTTTCCTTTTCTTTCAACTGTGACTAAAATAAAGATTTTTTTTTTTAACAGAAAGCCAAGTGACGTTAACTCACGAGCTGAATATGTACACACATTTTAAGTTGTCTGAAAGTGTCTTTCATTCAAGTATTGTTGAATAGATTATTTAGCAATCTTCTAACAATGGTTACAAAGTCTTGATACTTTTTTATTTAATTAGATTTAATGTAACATTTCTCTGATTTTATTGTGTTTCACACCTTTTTTCTGATGCGTAATTCTTTTGATTGCCATATTTTTAACTACATTTCTGTACCATTTGACTAAAGTGCGATGTGACGCCATTTTAAAAAGCAAAAGGACTGTACCAATGTCAATACCGAATCCGAATTTTATATCGTCCAGTTTATTCAATATTTCGTGAATGGTTCATACCTTATGTCCTAAACAAAATCACTAGTTTGAATTCCGTGATTCCTCCACCTCGCTTGAGTTTTGTCTTTTATTTTGAAGGCAAGACTGTCTCACTTCTGGTATCCTCTGCCTTGTTGCTCTGTGTCTTAACACCGTGATACAGGATTGATGCTGCCATCCCAACAACTGCATGTGACCTGAGGCGGCTGCACCTCCTGCTGGAAGAAACGGTCTCCTTCTTTTTGTCCAGGATGCCTGTTATCTGAAACAATGTCTTTTACTCTGAAAATCTGTTTTTGGGAACATTTACCACAGAAACCGGACTAAACCACATCCGCTCTAATACATTCTGTTCATTCATTTGTGAAATATGTCCCGCTTCATCCCACATATCAATTTTCCCACATGTAGCTCAAACTGCTGCACAGATTGGCCGGTTAGCTCAGTTGGTTAGAGCGTGGTGCTAATAACGCCAAGGTCGCGGGTTCGATCCCCGTACGGGCCAAAGTTATTGCTAAATCACTGTACACTCTATTATAGAAAAAGTCAAAATCACCGTTGTCTTTATGGTCCTCGTCGACCCAAAGGCAATGTTGCCACTCTTATTGGTGGAACTAATGACGAAGTACGGATTTATTTACAAAACATTCCCAGTTTGACAGCTGTATATATTCGCAGCAGAGAGGTATAACTTTAAGTTAGTGACGTGTGTATCCTAGCTCTTTCTGTTGCACCCGTGAGTATCTGCCCTCGAATCTAAACAATTATGTCTCCAGATTCACATTGATATTTGGTTTAGCTGACGATGACGTCAAATATTCGCTATCTCTTACCGAGAAATATTAATTTGAAAATTGACCAAATGTATTTAAAAGCCCACTGGCAACATATGTTTATACCTAATCTTGACAAAATAGGTGATTTTATTTATTTATTTAATTACTTCGTCATTACATCCCAAATATTTCCTTAGAATTAATTGCGAAATGTAGAAGTTAGTTCGTCTGGGAAAATATTAAAGTTCTAACTTTGGCAATAAAAGTTACATACTGTAACTTATACAATAAAAGTTCAAGTTCTGGGAAAATATTAAAGTTCTAACTTTTGCCCTTTTACAATAAAAGTTCAAGGGAAATACCAAATAACACAAAATAAAACTTACGTATTCAAAAAGAAAATACTCTTTATATGACACTGAGCGGACACAAGAGGGCAGCATTTAGTTTCACATAGTGCAGAGTCAGAGTCTCTTCGCAATGGGCCTCTGGAGTTCATCATTCTTCATCTCTCCTATTCATAAAATGCCTCACGTGTTTGAGCAGATGACTACCCTGACATGAAATGTCTAGTTTGAATTACCTCCAATGACAAATAAATAAATAATAAATAAATAAATAAAAAATAAAAAGCTTAATTGGCCCCAGCGCTGTCAGAGGAGATGGAACGGTCTTCTGGAAGTCATTTGAGCTGATGACTAAAGACCGTGTCTTACCAACTGTGAATCCTGCAGTGGCTGCAAGGCTGTGATTCACCCAGAATGCACCACAGTTCCCCCCAGAATCAAAGCTGCAGTCATACACTGGAATGTAGCATGTAAATGTTTAGGAAGAAAAACACCGTCCCGTTATGACTGATGTGGTTGTCATGGGAAGCAAAGATGGCAAAACTCTGGGATGAAAAAAAAAAAAAAATCGAAGTGAAAGAAAGTCTTGTCGTTCGCAGCGTTGGGGGCTGAACTAGCCCTGCTCGCACTTTGCGTGCCTGCAGATAATTACCGTGTGCCTACAGGGAGCTGTATCCCCTGTGCTCAGAGCCATAACTGGCTGACAAGAAATGAGCTCATGAATACCTACAGTGATAAGAGGCGTGCGAGTGTGCCAGAGTGTCCGCACTATCCTGCAAATTAGATTTAATTTACACAAATTTACTGCATATAAATGAAGTAAATGCACCTCGGACAACAGTGATGTGATGTTTCCACCGTCACATAAAGTAACAGTGCAGTTACAGGTAACAAACTGAATCCTACACTGTTCACACTTTCAAATAACTTCATTGAAAAATACACAAATGATTTGTGAACAGGTTATAAATGTAAAAATCTGTCGATTTTAGGACGTCGTTGAGCGCAGTTCTGACCCGGACCAGAGGTCCTTAATTTGTTGTCCAAATCTCTCGGTGCGTTCCAAGGACATTTGTTTATCAGTGTACAATTCATCTTCTAATTGACCACAGCATGCCAAAGTAATACTGGGGTAATTACTGCCACACGCATCTGATGTGTGTTGCTTTGAAATGGGCTCTTCCTGCAGAGCACAGCGCGCTGCTATCATAGCCCCATGTGTGTTAGCCATCGCTCTTAAAGTCACAGCCGACATTTGTCTGGGAATAACAGGACAATACAAAGTTACAAAATTGTGCCACCTAGTGTGCAGAGTAGTAGTAAACACAGTAATGTACAGTATATATGCTAATGACCACCAGCTCTGCGATTCTATCCCGTAATGACAGAACTGACATGATACTTTTGCACATTTGATGTCTGCCGCCATCTAGCGGCAACAAGAGAAATTACAGTGGATTCGTTATTATTTAAGAAACAAAAAGATTAACATCAGTCTTTACCATAGCTTATACCAGTGTTTGGCGGACCAAATCAGAAACCCCCACGAGCCATATCTGGCCCACAGGCCATAGTTTGCTGAAGTTAGATTAAAAAAAAAAATTGAGTTAGAAATCAATGCCAAAAAAAATTTAACTAACGAGATTATAAACTTCCAGTTTACATGTATATGAGACTCATGGACCGCCATTTTGTTACAACATAGGTATTGTTGTTAATCAAAGTCGATGGTATCGATTCTTTTCTGATGTTTACTGGATGGGTTACATGCGTGCAACATATTTAGGTCAAGTAATTCAATCTTCTAATTGAGTACATTCACCAAGTTCGATAGTTCGATACATTTTTTGTACCTTTTTAAATCTTCACTACTTCCACTTTAGCGACCCCTGGTGGTAATAATAAAATTCTGAATCCGAAAAAGCCAAAAAAAAAAAAAAAATTGTAGGTGGTAATTGTAATAATAAAATTCTGAATCCGAAAAAGTCCTAAAATCCTAAAAAAAAATGTAGGCAGTAATTTAAACCACAGAAACATAAATTCCAGTGTCGCTGAGAAATATAAGAAAGTCTGCCGTCGTACTAATGTTCCTGGAAACATTTTAGTTAGCGTGTTAAGCTACTTTTCAGGAGAGAAGTGTGAAGAATGTTCACGTTCAACACTGATTCACGAAACACGGTCTCTGAGTCAGACCGTGGCAGAGGGTTTGGCTACAACTGAAATAAAAAACGGCAGGAAGAGGAAGCTGAGGAAGTTCAGGGGTCTTTACGGGGGATTCCACCTTTTTTTCGTGCTCGCTGTGATGGCGCATATTTGCAAAAGAGCTCAACTTAAGCTTGAGAAAATAAATCGTTCCTGAAGAGTCAGTTCCCAGATGGAAGATCGTTAGCTTTTAGTAGATCGGGAAAAACAACGATAACACTGCTTCTACTCACAGGAAAAAGTGCGAATTGGTTTGGTTTAACGAACGGTATATTTAAGAAGCAGTTACAAAAAAAAGAAATAAAAAATCACCACTTTCTGGTATTTTATTAAACACTCTCTGGACTGAAGGCTGTTCCATAAAGACCCAAACGACCCATAAAAGCTGTTCAACCAACCTCTGATGTAGAGCTCTTACTGAACTAAATAATATTAACACACATTCATCCCACTTTACAGACCAGTTTGAACGCGCTCTAATTGGACTCTATATCACACGCCCCGGCTGTGTCATTTTTCTGGACAGGTCAGGGCAGCACACTTCCGAACATTGGTTCAACACATTTCCACAACTGATTTATTTCCGAGGTACTTTTCCTCGTAAAACCGACGTGGACCCGGGGCCTTTCGCAAGCGTCTGGTTTTCCTGCTGGCTGCAGTAAAACCAGGCTGAGGTCCAGACGCAGGGCAGCGCTTGCGTGACAGCGGTGTGCGAGAACACCGGCTGTACGCCTTAGATCAGGGGCACCTGTGAGCACCCCTGCTTCCTTGCGTGTATGGGATTTGGCCCCAGCGCTATAAGCATCGGGGAGGGGGTGCAGGGGGGGCAGATAGGTTGGAGGGCCCTTAGTTAAGTGTGCAGATTTATGACGGGCGTTTGCAGCCTGTCAGAGAAACTCTTGTTGGTTTTTCAGAGAATACAAAATGAGGAGATGGTAGGGACGGGATCCAAGACGCTTCCAGGGTATTGGCCACAACTTGGGAAATTCTCCAAACAACAAACCACCTTGTTGTAATTCAGGAGGGATGGCCAGATGGCTCCAGATGCCTGAGCAGCACTTGACTGAGATTAACTGTCTTGCCTGAGTCCTGGAAGTTCGGCCTCGGCTGCTCATTAACATCTCTCTTCACCTGAAAGAAGACGTAGTGAGAATAAGACGGAGCGGGA